TCACACACCAACTGCAACACAAGCACTACACATGTTACACTGTGAATCATCTCCTGCAATCACACACCAACTGCAACACAAACACTACACATGTTACACTGTGAATCATCTCCTGCAATCACACACCAACTGCAACACAAGCACTACACATGTTACACTGTGAATCATCTCCTGCAATCACACACCAACTGCAACACAAACACTACACATGTTACACTGTGAATCATCTCCTGCAATCAAACACCAACTGCAACACAAACACTACATGTTACACTGTGAATCATCTCCTGCAATCACACACCAACTGCAACACAAACACTACACGTTACACTGTGAATCATCTCCTGCAATCACACAGCAACTGCAACACAAACACTACACATGTTACACTGTGAATCATCTCCTGCAATCACACACCAACTGCAACACAAACACTATACATGTTACACTGTGAATCATCTCCTGCAATCAAACACCAACTGCAACACAAACACTACACATGTTACTTTGTGAATCATCTCCTGCAATCACACACCAACTGCAACACAAACACTACACATGTTACACTGTGAATCATCTCCTGCTATCACACACCAACTGCAACACAAACACTACACATGTTACACTGTGAATCATCTCCTGCAATCACACACCAACTGCAACACAAGCACTACACATGTTACACTGTGAATCATCTCCTGCAATCAAACACCAACTGCAACACAAACACTACATGTTACACTGTGAATCATCTCCTGCAATCAAACACCAACTGCAACACAAACACTACACATGTAACACTGTGAATCATCTCCTGCAATCACACACCAACTGCAACACAAACACTACACATGTTACACTGTGAATCATTTCCTGCAATCACACACCAACTGCAACACAAGCACTACACATGTTACACTGTGAATCATCTCCTGCAATCACACACCAACTGCAACACAAACACTACACATGTTATACTGTGAATCATCTCCTGCTATCACACACCAACTGCAACACAAACACTACACATGTTACACTGTGAATCATCTCCTGCAATCACACACCAACTGCAACACAAACACTACACATGTTACACTGTGAATCAACTCCTGCAATCAAACACCAACTGCAACACAAACACTACACATGTTACACTGTGAATCATCTCCTGCAATCACACACCAACTGCAACACAAACACTACACATGTTACACTGTGAATCATCTCCTGCAATCACACACCAACTGCAACACAAACACTACACATGTTACACTGTGAATCATCTCCTGCAATCACACACCAACTGCAACACAAACACTACATGTTACACTGTGAATCATCTCCTGCTATCACGAACCAACTGCAACACAAACACTACACATGTTACACTGTGAATCATCTCCTGCAATCACACACCAACTGCAACACAAACACTACACATGTAACACTGTGAATCATCTCCTGCAATCACACACCAACTGCAACACAAACACTACATGTAACAATGTGAATCATCTCCTGCAATCAAACACCAACTGCAACACAAACACTACATGTTACACTGTGAATCATCTCCTGCAATCACACACCAACTGCAACACAAACACTACACATGTAACACTGTGAATCATCTCCTGCAATCACACACCAACTGCAACACAAACACTACATGTAACAATGTGAATCATCTCCTGCAATCAAACACCAACTGCAACACAAACACTACATGTTACACTGTGAATCATCTCCTGCAATCACACACCAACTGCAACACAAACACTACACATGTTACACTGTGAATCATCTCCTGCAATCACACACCAACTGCAACACAAACACTACACATGTTACACTGTGAATCATCTCCTGCAATCACACACCAACTGCAACACAAGCACTACACATGTTACACTGTGAATCATCTCCTGCAATCACACACCAACTGCAACACAAACACTACACATGTTACACTGTGAATCATCTCCTGCATTCACACACCAACTGCAACACAAACACTACACATGTTACACTGTGAATCATCTCCTGCAATCACACACCAACTGCAAAACAAACACTACACATGTTACTTTGTGAATCATCTCCTGCAATCACACACCAACTGCAACACAAACACTACACATGTTACACTGTGAATCATCTCCTGCAATCACACACCAACTGCAACACAAACACTACACATGTTACACTGTGAATCATCTCCTGCTATCACGAACCAACTGCAACACAAACACTACACATGTTACACTGTGAATCATCTCCTGCAATCACACACCAACTGCAACACAAGCACTACACATGTTACACTGTGAATCATCTCCTGCAATCACACAACAACTGCAACACAAACACTACATGTTACACTGTGAATCATCTCCTGCAATCAAACACCAACTGCAACACAAACACTACACATGTTACACTGTGAATCATCTCCTGCAATCACACACCAACTGCAACAAGTACTACACATGTTACACTGTGAATCATCTCCTGCTATCACACACCAACTGCAACACAAACACTACACATGTTACACTGTGAATCATCTCCTGCAATCAAACACCAACTGCAACACAAACACTACATGTTACACTGTGAATCATCTCCTGCAATCACACACCAACTGCAACACAAACACTACACATGTTACACTGTGAATCATCTCCTGCAATCACACACCAACTGCAACACAAACACTACACATGTTACACTGTGAATCATCTCCTGCTATCACACACCAACTGCAACACAAACACTACACATGTTACACTGTGAATCATCTCCTGCAATCACACACCAACTGCAACACAAACACTATACATGTTACACTGTGAATCATCTCCTGCAATCACACACCAACTGCAACACAAACACTACACATGTTACTTTGTGAATCATCTCCTGCAATCACACACCAACTGCAACACAAACACTACACATGTTACACTGTGAATCATCTCCTGCAATCACACACCAACTGCAACACAAACACTACACATGTTACACTGTGAATCATCTCCTGCTATCACACACCAACTGCAACACAAACACTACACATGTTACACTGTGAATCATCTCCTGCAATCACACACCAACTGCAACACAAACACTACACATGTTACACTGTGAATCATCTCCTGCAATCACACACCAACTGCAACACAAACACTACACATGTTACACTGTGAATCATCTCCTGCAATCACACACCAACTGCAACACAAACACTACACATGTTACACTGTGAATCATCTCCTGCAATCAAACACCAACTGCAACACAAACACTACACATGTTACACTGTGAATCATCTCCTGCAATCACACACCAACTGCAACACAAACACTACACATGTTACACTGTGAATCATCTCCTGCAATCACACACCAACTGCAACACAAACACTACACATGTTACACTGTGAATCATCTCCTGCAATCACACACCAACTGCAAGACAAACACTACACATGTTACACTGTGAATCATCTCCTGCAATCACACACCAACTGCAACACAAACACTACATGTTACACTGTGAATCATCTCCTGCAATCACACACCAACTGCAACACAAACACTACACATGTTACACTGTGAATCATCTCCTGCAATCACACACCAACTGCAACACAAACACTACACATGTTACACTGTGAATCATCTCCTGCAATCAAACACCAACTGCAACACAAACACTACACATGTTACACTGTGAATCATCTCCTGCAATCACACACCAACTGCAACACAAACACTACACATGTTACACTGTGAATCATCTCCTGCAATCACACACCAACTGCAACACAAACACTACACATGTTACACTGTGAATCATCTCCTGCAATCACACACCAACTGCAAGACAAACACTACACATGTTACACTGTGAATCATCTCCTGCAATCACACACCAACTGCAACACAAACACTACATGTTACACTGTGAATCATCTCCTGCAATCACACACCAACTGCAACACAAACACTACACATGTTACACTGTGAATCATCTCCTGCAATCACACACCAACTGCAACACAAACACTACACATGTTACACTGTGAATCATCTCCTGCAATTACACACCAACTGCAACACAAACACTACACATGTAACACTGTGAATCATCTCCTGCAATCACACACCAACTGCAACACAAACACTACACATGTTACACTGTGAATCATCTCCTGCAATCACACACCAACTGCAACACAAGCACTACAGATGTTACACTGTGAATCATCTCCTGCAATCACACACCAACTGCAACACAAACACTACACATGTTACACTGTGAATCATCTCCTGAAATCACGAACCAACTGCAACACAAACACTACACATGTTACTTTGTGAATCATCTCCTGCAATCACACACCAACTGCAACACAAACACTACATGTTACACTGTGAATCATCTCCTGCAATCACACACCAACTGCAACACAAACACTACATGTTACATTGTGAATCATCTCCTGCAATCACACACCAACTGCAACACAAACACTACACATGTTACACTGTGAATCATCTCCTGCTATCACGAACCAACTGCAACACAAACACTACACATGTTACACTGTGAATCATCTCCTGCAATCACACACCAACTGCAACACAAACACTACACATGTTACTTTGTGAATCATCTCCTGCAATCACACACCAACTGCAACACAAACACTACACATGTTACACTGTGAATCATCTCCTGCAATCACACACCAACTGCAACACAAACACTACACATGTTACACTGTGAATCATCTCCTGCAATCACACACCAACTGCAACACAAACACTACACATGTTACACTGTGAATCATCTCCTGCTATCACGAACCAACTGCAACACAAACACTACACATGTTACACTGTGAATCATCTCCTGCTATCACAGCCCTCATAACAAGCTGTATGTCCTGACCTTGTGTACATGTAACAATAGCAGGCAGTGACCCTCCTTACCTTCATACCCATACAATATCTGTTTGCCATCAGCATCACAGATTTGATATCTGTTGCTCCTCTCCCATCCCAAAAGCACTGCAACAATAGAACGGACAATTAACAGGTGGGCCTTAATCAAGAGACAGCAGGATGGAGCTTAGCAAGGTGAAGCTAGCCTACTGGAGATGTGCCATGTTTTCAATCTGTGTTTGTACATGCAATGAAGAAAATACTCAAGGTGCAAGATTAGTTCACAATATTTCTGGTCTGTGAGATAAGTGCATATGCCAACAACCTTTCAATTGAACGATCATTGATTTCAACATTTCTTTTTTTCCCAAAATAAGTTTAGCTTTTCCACACCCTTTGGTGTGCACAAACATATGACTCGGTCCCACAATTGTTACACATCTACTTCCCCCTCCACTAAGCTTCTCACAAGAACATATGAGGCGGCAAAAAATGCTAATATCATCTTTCTAAAATGATCAATATAATTCATGAAGTTTTGTTACGATGATTGGACATGTTGGCAAAGTTAAATATTATCTCCAAGCTACAAATTTCTGTTACTCTGTACGTCTACAGAGGTCCATCATACACCCCGTTGACAGATACACACCGTTGTAATGTAGATGTTCAATATACCTGAATGTTTTTGAGTGATTTCTGAAATAAAATTTGCCGTGTGAAGATTAAAGGATTTACTGTGATGTGATTGGTTTATTTGCTGCTAACATGACCCGATAATTTTTCAACAAACTTCAAAAAGTGATGTTTACAAAGTATAAACTTCACCTTTTGACTTTCACACAATTTTTGACCGGAACTACTTTTCATGGGGAATCCCCAAGTTGTCTCGATCCCCTGCTAACTATGATCTTAAGGATCAGCAATATTGGACAATATAATAACATTCCCTTTTTACACAATGTTTCATTAAAACACTTATTTACATATTCACATTAACCCATGAATGCCAGGGACACATAAATGTCCCTCCTCTTCAACCCTCTAGTTGAAGTCAAATGAAATTCAAAATATATCATGCTCACAAATGGACAGCAAGTTTTCAATTCTGTGGGAAATTCCCTCTTCTGCAATATCATGCAAAATTTCTAAAAATGACCTCTGAAAATTTCATACTTCATACTTGGAACAAATTACAAAATCACCATTATTATTTGGTGTATGTCTTGAAATCAAAATATCAAATATTTATTCTGAGAAAGCATTTCGAACATAGCATATTAGTGATCAGCATAATGATCATGGGTATCTGTTTTTAATTATCAACCACCAATGATCATTTTGAAACATCACCGTTAACCCTAGAATCAATTAGAATGTTTTGGAAAACCTGCTAACACGAACACCGAAGTGAACTTTCCATGAACTCAGCTGTGATACGTATATCCTTGAATTCCTCATACATTTTAGAATCAAATGATAAATGGTTTTTGTCACCAATACAAACTGTCTAGATGAACTCAAGCAAAATATATTAGGTGAGAAAACGAACATTGTGCTTGAACAACTGCACTTGTTTGAAATGAAAACAAAGCAAAATTCAGATTTTATACTGTGTATCATTTTCTCTTATTTTGAGAGATCCATTCTAGTCGTTGTATACAATCGCTCAATATTTTTATAATATGCATGAGAAGAGTATTGTAGCAAGAATTAGGGAATCAAAAATAGAAACATTACAATGATTTGGTAAATTCAACAGAAATTGTCCATGTTTCCACCCTGCATGACAGCATAACTTATGCAATATCACACAAAACAACAAGGTATTTATCGGCATTTGTGAATATTTTTCTTGGTTATAATGAAAAACATAAAAACAAATAACAATACTTAGATTGTCAGAATGTTCCCGACTACTCACATGGCACATTTATGTATGTACGACCCCTGAATCAAACAAATGTCCTCTCGGCACATTTATATATGTACGATCCCTGAATCAAACAAAAGTCCTCTCGGCACATTTATGTATGTATGATCCCTGAATCAAACAAAAGTCCTCTCGGCACATTTATGTATGTACGATCCCTGAATCAAACAAAAGTCCCCTCGGCACATTTATGTATGTACGATCCCTGAATCAAACAAAAGTCCTCTCGGCACATTTATGTATGTACGATCCCTGAAACAAACAAAAGTCCTCTCGGCACAATTATGTATGTATGATCCCTGAATCAAACAAAAGTCCTCTCGGCACATTTATGTATGTATGATCCCTGAATCAAACAAAAGTCCTCTCGGCACATTTATGTATGTATGATCCCTGAATCAAACAAAAGTCCTCTCGGCACATTTATGTATGTACGATCCCTGAATCAAACAAAAGTCCTCTCGGCACATTTATGTATGTACGATCCCTGAATCAAACAAAAGTCCTCTCGGCACATTTATGTATGTACGTATGATCCCTGAATCAAACAAAAGTCCTCTCGGCACATTTATGTATGTATGATCCCTGAATCAAACAAAAGTCCTCTCGGCACATTTATGTATGCATGATCCCTGAATCAATAAAAGTCCTCTCGAAAAGAATCCTTCATACTGATGTCAGTGGACACACCCTTTCTAACAGTTGATCACCGGTTGTGATGTTATACGTCAACATATGTTGTACATATTTGGTGACTTCTTTGAGGTGAAGGTCATTTGAGAAAAGAAAGTCATTTCTGATGTAACTCTCGTTGATTAACAATGATTTGTGTTTTCATAGTTATGGAATTGGAACTACTTTGTATTGAGTATGTGTGAAGAATATACCCACAACTGGGTCACTGCATTCCATTGTATCTGGTAAAGTCACTGAATGCTTGGAACAGTGTAAGTTTTAACATGATGCAGTCCTAATAACAATTAGCTCACCCCACCCAACCTATAATACATTACCAGTCCCTAAGAAAAAAGATAATTGAGCTCCAAAGCGTGAGTGACACTAATTTTAATGAGCTTGAAGCCATGCTTTTAATCAATGTGATATTCTGTAATATACATGTATACCAGCGCCCCTACATAGTTTTTGAGCCTTTGAGTATCAACTCACACATAATTATTTTCATTGGGTATTTACATTTAACTTTGGGTATTTAAGACATATTTACCCCCTTGGGTCCAGTCTATTGACCAATGAGTGAACATTTAGAAAAAAAAACATCATCCGCTTAAAATGCTGTTTCATGTAACTTCTATTTTGCACCTGTTCATGCGCTGTCCCATGTTGCATTGGTGCACAACATTGATGTATGTCTAAGTTACAATAAGTGCAATTTTCAGTTAAGTAGGGTTCATGCATACATGCAGTCGATCAGGAAATACAGATCAGGGCCTACTTGCGCAAAGGGATCTCAGCGCTAAGATGATCGTAACTCCCATACTTTAGCATAGTCTTACAATAGTCTTAGCGCTAAGATCGCTTTGTGCAAGTGGGCCCAGGAAATACTGGTAGGCAAACTGAAAAGGACACATTGGGTAATTATGCATAGTGTCATTATACTATTGGGTTTATGGGATGTTCCATGTGTATTTGTATGTAAGATTAAAGGTTAATGCATGATGATCATTTTGTGCATATTTTATTCAGTTATGCAGCTTATCTGGTTCTGTGATATTCACAACAGATGTTTCATGGGATTAACAATACAGTTCACACATGCAAATTGGAAAAAGGGAAGATACATAAGCCTACACGATGAACTTTTATTAAAAAAGTTAATTATCAAAAGGGTTATCATCACTGATTATAACCGTATACTCAAGCACGAGTCATGTTTTACCAACTAGTACTCAACTAGGTCGGTAATAAGGTCGGGGTACCCGGGTTGTCAATTTGACTTTCCCCAGCCCTTATTGATAGTGGACCTTTGGGTAAACTATGTCACTCGATACTTTCGCCAGTGCACAGTGTTGCGTGTGTCATTCAACTAGATCAAGAGTTTTTACTAGATTATTTAGTTAGTTGAATTAGTTTCATGGTCAATAGACTATTCCTCTCACTATACATTGTCCTGGTATTTTCCTTATACCTTCTAAAACATCTAAATACTGATGAACCCTGAGCACGTTCGTCTTCGTCAAATCCTTCAAGCCTAGGGGTTGATAACCTCCTGCGTCCGTGTCAGCTGTCAGCGTCGTCTTCTCACCAGACTCAGGCTGGGCGGAAATAACCTGGTCTACAGCTGACATCATGATCTACCTCACTATTCCCATGTTGCACGACTGGACGGACGAGTGCAGCGACCAGAACTGGGATACGACCAGAACGGGGATAAACACCGTAGAGAATTATATCTCTGGCATGCAACTATGTGTTTAATTGACAAACATTTAATAAGAGCAAAATCATCTGCACTTCTTGTGTTTTGTATTTTTACTCCGTTCTGCAAAGTGCGCCAATGGCAATGCTACTGACTCGATATCCGACATTTGCAGCTAAATATAGCAGCGGAAAAAAGTGGTAATGCGGAACTAAAGCGGAATACAATTTCTTCTTTTTATGCATATCGCTCATGAAAAAATGCAATTCCTATAACAATGGTCGTGTTGCTTATTACCTGTCATTACTGCCCATTGCCATGTTTAATTTCTAACCATGATAAAACTCCCAAATGTATTATTTAATTGTCTATCATATCATAACCTTTGTGAGGTGGTGACATGTTTAATAACAGAGTAAATTTTCTGTTAAATAGCTATCTTGGCCACTTCTGAACACAGTGTTTTCCTACAAAATAGCAAAAGCCAAATGAAAATAAAATTATTCTCTAATTTATGTATTTTAAAGATGTTATGCCACTCATTGGTGGGGATACAAGCGTAATAATTCAAGTTCCTAGGATGTTTGTGTTATGCTATTTTTCAAGAGTTATGAGAGTTGGACATTTCTTCTCATACACAGTAACACAGCAGGTAAATGTCTAGGAATAAATACTCATGACATTGTACAATAGGCCATGATGTTCACAAAATATATGTGAATATGTACATCAATATAATAATATTAATTATTTTGAATATTACTAAGTGTGTCATTAAACATCAAACAATGAATACTCAACATGTCAGAGTTGAAAGGGGTACAGTTAAATTTGTACTATTCAAGGGATTTCTAAGCCCCAACACCTCGAAGCCCTCTGGCAACTGATGCGTGTATTTTTGTTTGTATTCTCAAGTCCCTAAGTCATTTTTTGTAAATATTACTATCATTATCATGTTAGATTTTAGTGGTAACAATTATTCAAAATCACTCCATTTGATTAATGTGTACATGATGATAAAAGCAACTAATTTTTATATTAATGGTGGAGGTGCATGTAACTGCTTCCAGGCATAGCAGATGCAGGATGTGAGAGAGTTTGTGCTTCATCTTAGAAGTCCAACTTAAAAAATAAAAGAAACTAATTACATATAGAAATATTAGAGTAGAAATTGTTGAAAAAGATTTCTTTAATGTTCCTTTGATTCACCCACCACCCTATTCTTTTTCTCATTGTTTTAAAGGGAAAAATACCATATGTAATACCCGGTATGACAAAATCTCCTTCCTGGTCAGCATTAAAATAACTGGGAAACTCATTGAACCATTCCTGGTAGCTTATTGAGATATATACGTTGAAGCTTTCATAACCGTTTTGCCAGCAAAATGTCCTCATATTTCTGGGGAGATCATATGGAATCTAAATGACATTATTTAATATGATTGAAATATTTAGAAAGGTTTCAAAATTACCAACTTAAGACAGATAACATATATTTAATAAACCCATTACTAATGGAGAACTGAACTTGTTATCTCATGCTCTGTCATCATTGACATTAATATTTGCAAGACAAAGCAACAGTAAGAGTTATCCTCCCTTCACAACTTGATCAAAATGGTCGTCTGGTCCTTGCTGTTGAAGGCCAAGTGGCTGAAGTTTCTAAGATAATATTTCTTTGAAAGACGAGAATGTGTAGGTAAGTCATTATACCTTTACTTTTTACTTTTTTTTCTGTGGTTTCTATCAAGGCAGGTACAGACCTAGGACAATGTCATGCATTGTGCAGTCAGTCCCTCCATGATGATCAGTTAGCCTATTACAGCTGTGAAGGGGACCAAGCTTTTTTTAAAACTATGTAGTTTCATATGCAAAGCTTATTGTCAAAGTACATTTCTCAAAGGTTGTAAATGTGAATGACAATGTTCAGGAAACAAAGCTCTCAAGATTCCCTTAATTTTTGAAAGCATCACATTTATGCCACTTCTAGTTGAGGGGATGTGAGTAATAATATAGTCAACAATCTCTTAACATTAGCAATATTGACCCATAGCATTCAGATTCTGCTCACAAGTTTGAAATGTTATTTACTATCATCAGTGAAGAAGAAATCTTAAGATTTCATTAATTGTAGATTTTAAAGGTGTTATCCCATTTCCGGTCAAGGTTATATGAATAATAATATAGTAGAAAATCTCTTAAAATTATAAATCTTTACTCGTAGCCTTCAGGCTTTGCTCACAGGTTTGAAATGTGATTTACTACTATCAGCCAAGAAGAAATCTTAAGATTCCATTAATTGTAGATTTTATAGGTGTTATCCCATTTCTGGTCAAGGTGATATGAGTATTAATATAGTAGAAAATCTCTTAAAATTAGAAATCTTTACTCAAAGTATTCAGGCTTTGCTCACGGGCTAGAAATGTTATTTACTATCATCAGCCAAGAAGAAATCTTAAGATTCCATTATTTGTCGAGTTTATAGACTTTATCCCATTTCTGGTTGAGGGGAGATGAGTAATAATATAGTAGAAAATTTCTTAAAAATACAAATATTGACCCCTAGCATTCAGATTCTGCTCACAAGTTTCAAATGTTATTTACTATCAGTAGTCATGAAAAAATCTCAAGATTCCATTAATTGTAGACTTTAAAGGCGTTATCCTATTTCTGTTCGAGGGGACATGAGTAATAAAATAGTAAAAAATCTCTTAAAATTAGAAATATTAACCCATAGCATTCAGCTCACAAGTTTGAAATGTGATTTACTATCATCAGCCAAGAAGAAAACTTAACATTCCATTTAGTGTAGATTGTATGATGATATTGTGTATAAAATGTCATAGGTTGATTATTAATTGTGAACATCTGTATAGATTGATGTATTACCACCTTTCATGGAAGTGTGTATTTGTCTATTTCTAGACTTGCTAAAGCCAAACTGGGGAAAGTGGAAATTGATAGTTTATACTGAAGGGTTCATTGGTCTGTTGAGGGCTCAAACAACTGAATACAGGCAAGCTACTGCTAGCACTGACTCTACATGCTAGCCATAAACATGTCACCAGATGATTCCCTAATTACTACTGACTAGTTGTCTGTTCAGATCTCTAACTGCTCAGGAGATTGTTGATACTTGAATTCCAAGGAGGAACTGGCTCTATGAAGGGTGTGAGAATCTCAGTGTAAATTTAAGCAAGGTCATTAGCTCATATTGTTAATGTTGTAGCAGAAAAAAATAATTTTACTTTACTGGAATTATTTGAATTCCCTATGGGAATGAACACAAAAGAAGATTTAATAATATTTTGTGAAAATAATTTGTAAATCTGTGAAATTTAGATATGATTGTATATGGGAAGGTTATGTTTTAACTTTTTTAGTGTCCGTTTGTCTGGAGCGTATGTCCAAAGTTACAGATAACCTATGAGTATCACTAACACTGACCTTTCTCATTGATAATGTTGTAGCAAGCCTATGATGCAGCTTACAAAACAAAAACATATTCAAGTACGGTAGTTGCAAGAAGCAGTATTTGACAAATTGTTATAACGAGAACACTGTTTTGTACTGTGTGCTCAATCACAACAACTGCGCAAAATGCTGTTAGGAGTCCGGCTGTAAAAAGAATATTCATATCATTATTTTCAAGAAGTTACATACATACAGTCTTTAAGTTGATATCTTCAAAACTTATATACTAAGCCACAATGAGAATAACTGCCTTTCAAAATAAGGCATGTTTTCTTTTTGTCCCACATTTTATTGCAGGATTCAAATTAGCTTACCATATTGCTGCCATACAGTCATGACTACTTGGTGCAGACAGAACTAAATGACAACACAATAATAATAATAATAATATTATCTTAAAGAACCATACTGTTACGCCTTCATCGTTTACGAACTAACCATTTACATTTTCTCTGTGCTGATAGAAATGATTATGATGCGAAGGTCATTGGCCAAGAGAAGAAGTTCAACAACAGATCATCAGATACAGGCATATGGAAAGCTGTAGATATGGAGACCCGTTACATGTGATCCAACCAAAACACAACACATTATAACCTCAGGACACCTTCTTTAAAGTAAGGGTATACTTTGACTAGTAGCTCAGATTCTCAAAAGTTTTTAGGAGTTCCAGAAGCACATATGGCCCAGTCTAGACAAACACCTTGTCTCTGAAATGAACATATTTTACAGATCAAAACAGTTGTTATGTTATAGTTATAAAAATATAATAAAAAGGAGAGACTCTTTTTGGATATAATTGTTTCAGGGTCTGTATGGCAGACTAGACCCAGTCATCCAAGGCATGCAATTAGTTGTGCAGAGTCATGTCCATTATACATGCCAGAATACTATGATTGTGGGTTCAAGTCATAGAATTGTCCAGGTTATGTTTCTTGGTTTGGCAGCAGAATACCTGTCGTCTTGATTTTCATCAGAGTGGGAAACGTCTTCGACTTGCATCATGTTCGGCATTTATCTCCCATTAATCTGACATGCCATGATATGCCTGAAATACTGTTCCAAGTAATGTGTCACTAAACGAAGCAGATTATTTGTTTCTTGTTTGACACTGCACTTGTCAATATTCCAGCTTCATGATTGTGGCCTGTGAATAATCGAGTCTTAACCAAAAAATCCAGGGATTCATACATGTGACTTATGGATATAATACAGCTAAGTAAGATATATGAAAACAACAAGTGTAACATATGTTTTACCACCTTTTTTAAAAATACCATCCCATCCATAAAGCTTTAATATTATCAAATATATCATTCTGTCAAGAAGTGGCATAACCTTTTTAAAATGTATCAACTGTGGAAGTTGCTTTTGTTTGAGGATAGTCAGTTCTATTACAATCTTGCTTTCAAGGCAAAAGGACAAGAATTTTTATTTGAGAAGAAATTGACTTCCAGTATATTATTTGCTCACCAAAGGGTACATGTAAGATGATGGTAGCAATTTTGTATTCTTTCTAAGATAGCAAAATGGTACATATGAAATAAGAAATTTCACAATAAGTAGTTTGACTCCTATTTGAATTTCCTCCTGAATCTGTTGTGATTGTGATTGGCTTAACAATTGTTTTTACTGGTTTCAGGATTAGAACTGATAGAGAAACTGCTTATGGGCCGGAAA